TTTTTTTTTTTTTTTTACCTGTTCTGGAGCTGGAACTCAGGGCCTGGGTGCTGTCCCTGAGCCTCTTTGTGCTCAAGGCTAGCACTCTTATCACTAGAGCTACAATGCCACTTCTGGCTTTCTCTGAGTAATTTATTGGAGATAAGAGTCTCACAGACTTCTCTGCCCAGGCTGGCTTCAAACCCATTATAAAGTTTTAATTACAAGTATAAAAATATATCCTAGCTGGGTGCCGGTGGCTCACACCTATAATCCTAGCTACTTAAGAGTTTAAGATCTGAGGATTGCAGTTCAAAGCCAGCCCTAGTAGGAAACTCCGTGAGACTCTTATTTCCAATAAACCACTCAGAAAACCGAAGTGGTGCTGTGGCTCAAGTGATAGAGCGCTCACCTTGAGCTGAAGGGCTGAGGAACAGTGCCCAGGCCCAGAGTTCAAGCCCCACGACTGACAAAAATAAATAAATAAGTTCCAAGCTACCCTTGGTCATGCGGCGAGAACTTGTCTAAACAAAAAAACAAAAAACAGACACACACACACACACACACACACACACACACACACACACACACACAAAAGGAAAAAAGAAAAAGGAAAAGAAATAAATAAAGCAACCAAAGAGAGAAAAGTTCACAAAACACAACCCCAAAACAACATAAAAAGGATGTATGTGGGCTGGGAAAGTGGCTTAGTGGTAAGAATGCTTGCCTACAATTCCTCAGTACCACATACTCACAAAAAGCCAGAAGTGGTGCTGTGGCTCAAGTGGTAGAGCTCTAGCCTTGAGCAAAAGCAGATCTGGGACAGCACACAGGCCCTGAGATCAAGCTCCAGGACTGACAAAAAACTTGAAAGAAATAATTAAGATCATCTCAGTATAATCAGGTCACTTTCTTTTCTACCGAACATTGCCCTGGTTTCTCTTCAACTTTTGTTACCACTACTTCAATAACTTATTGCTCAATTAAATGGAAGAACTATTACATTTAGCATCTGGTAAAAAAGACACCTTCCTGCTCCTCTGACAACCCATGTTTTCTCCCACTATGTCCCAAAGTAGCACTTTTCTCAAATTAAACCATGAAACTGAATCATCTGAATATTCCTAATTCTTTTGAATTCTTTTCCATGTATTATGATTATGAATTGTTTTAAAACTCCTAACCAATTAGGTGTTGTCATATAACCATTCTAATGGGCGTCAATTTCTGGTTCTTTGGAAAGAGATTAGTTAGCATAAACTGTCCCAACCATAGCATAAACACAAATGAATCAAACAGGAAAATACAGAAATATTTATAATGTAAGGCAATAACATTAGAATGCTTAAAAATATTTTTTAAAACTTCTACTACTTTCTATTATTTTACTTTAGTTCAGAGGGGGTAGATATTTCATTGCTGCATCTCCACATATGGTTACACTGTATTCTATTGATAAAATATTTTACCCCAAAATTTTAGAATTTTGAAATTCTCCAATGAAATCAACATGACTCCTTTATATCCTAAAGGGAATGTAAATCATGACTCTATGGAAATAAATGGAAATAAAACTGTTTCAAAAATACCTTAAGAAGCTCAAGTCCTGAACGAATAGCAGTATCTGGACTTACACCCTCCTCTTCATCATCTGCAGTCCCCTCAATTGATTTATTCATCAATTTTACTAGTGCACTATTAAAAAAAGTATAAATTAGTAAGACTACTAGATCAAAAAAGTAATAATTACAATCTTTTGTCCTGTATGTCAGTTCTGGGGCATAAGACCTTGGTGCTATCCCTGAGCTTTATCATGCAAGTATTCTACCACACTTGAACTACAGTTTCACTTTTTACTGGTTAACTGGAGTCTCACAAACTTTCCTGCCTGGGCTGGCTTTGAACCACAATCCTCAA